GGGGGGGGGGGGGCATTCAAGAGAAAGGATACGAAGAGTGTGAAAGGTACACAAAGAGAGCAGAGTGAAAGGTGCGTTCAATGAGTCAGACAACAAGAGAGACATTCTTTGGAGGATCCGTCCCCTATTCTTATCCTCTTCTCTCGCATCGTTTTGCATCTTCCAGTCGGGAGAGTAAGTTAGCAAGTTCAATACTCAAACCCCCCTCACTTCTTAATTCTCCTTTCTCCTTTTCCTTCTCTCGCCATCCGCCTCCGCCCTCTTCCCACTTTCGTAATCTTTACCCGGTTCCTCTCTCATCGTTCGCCCTCCTCTGCCTGCCCGTACTTCTTCCATTTCACTCTTTCCTTCTTCCATTCGCTTCTCCTCTCGCTCCTTCTCATTATCTCCGTCATTCCTTCCTTCGTTCTCTTTATTCCCTTACGTACGCGCAGCCGAGGCAGTAGTACGCAGCGCGCCCCCACAGATAGCGCTATCATCGATCGATTTTGCTCTCACGCAATAGGTAGCGCTCTCTGTGCACTCGGGGGTTCTCGCGCAGCCCATTTTAAATTTCGCGCCGTATCCACGAATCGGGCCGACGTGTTTCCCGCGTCCTGGAAAATGAAGGTCACGTAGGTTAATTTATTGGGAGTCCCGGAACCGACGGAGAAGCCGTATCCGAGAAGCCCGTGGAGTCCAGGCTCCAAATCCCAGAGCCGATTGGATCGGCACGAGCTTTTACTGCTTCCGATTATAGGTACTACCCCGGTATATTACAATGAGCGCCAGAATATACCTACCTATATACTATTGTCAATCAGTACGCTAATTATTTCAGTATACGGATTTAATGTTATATAATAATTTTAATTAATAACTAATAACGATAATTAACTAGAATCACTGTTTCTAGAGGATTAGTCTATTACCTAGTTTTACACTAGTAATTTTATACTTATGTGTATCTACGTATATCAGTATATCAAATGATACGTCATCGCCACACTCGTACATCGTATAGTAATATTATTTAATAAATATAATATATAATCAATCTGCTCAGTCTAAGAGTACAGACAAATTTTTATATATATATACATATATATATTTTTTTTAACTGTAGCAGAGAGCTCGTGCCGATCCGGTTTCGCGCAACCTGGACGCCACCACCAACGGCACATATACCGCTTTTCCGTTTTCTCTCGTCTTCGAGGCTACTACATGAAGAAAGAGGAGATAACGGAGAGAAACAAATTGCGTGAGAGAAATAGAGAGAGACAGATAAAGAGAATACGAGAAAATAATTGTTAAATAAAAGTATGCGACGAAATTCAAGAAAGAAAAAAAGAAAAAAAAAACCGAGCAGAGCTCTAGCTACGGTGCGTTACGTGTCTCGTTCCCTGTACACAGTACACTCAGCGCCATGAGTCTTATTAACATTTAACTCGAAAAATAAAAAAAAAAATAAAAAATTCAAAAATTAACTTTCTCTCAAGAGTTCGTATACACCTTACTCGTGCGTACTTAATTTTTCAAAAAAAAAAAAAAAAAAAAA